TCCAGGAAGCCCAGGGCAGAGCAACTCTGCCTCGGGCTTCCTGTAGTCAGCCACTGGTCAGTTTCAGCAGCAGCTGAATCTGGAGCCAGTTCCGACTTACGTACAAATTTAACTTAAGAACAAACCTACAATCCCTATCTTGTACGTAACCCGGGGACTGCCTGTACTGAAATAGCAGTAACTGTACTTGAATTGGGGTTAGACTAGATGGCCCTTGTGGTCCCTTTGATTCTTTCAGCATACGACTTTTACTTTGGTCAGGTAACGTTTTTAAGGCTCTTACTCTGCATGCCAGCCTACTGTATAACATAGCATGACTTACCGCCGCAGCGCCCCCTGCTGGTCACTCTGGGAATTAGCTTTTCAGCTCTGGAGCACCCCCTTTTGGTTGGTGTCTCCCCCACTGTTACCTGTTTTTCCTCCACCTCTGTGTTCGGGCCCACGTCCCTCCCAGACTGTGGCATCCTCCCTTCTGGGTACTGCTCTGCTGCAAGGCTCACGCTCTGGGGTCATCCCCCTTGGCAAACCTCCAACCCCCCCCCTATTCGTACCTTGCCTCAGTGACCCACCCAGTGCCAAGATTCATCCAGTCCCTTACCTCAGGGTAAACTGCAGTCTGAAGTGGCCATTCATCATTGGCAAGGGGGTGTGGACCTGCTGCCTTTGCCTCCCCTGCCTGCCTCTATGCAGCCTCAATAGCTTCAGGCCCTGCAGCCCGGGAGCTTGTCTGGCCAGAGCTTCCCAGCTCTGCATCAAGAAGCCTCTAGCTGCCTTGAAAGCCTGGTCCCTCCAGCTCCCCAGCTGGAGCAAGAATGAGTTTGTTTCCTCCTCTCCAGGAGCCTGTATTTATACTGCCCTCAGCTGGGCCCTAATTGGCTCATTCCTGCCATAGCTGTAAGCTCCACTTCTCCCAGGGCTGGATTTCAACCCTTAAAGGGCCAGTGCTGGTCAGATGCCCATCACACAGGTTTTATGTACAAGGTTGAACCCTACATAAAATAGTTGAGCAAGATGGTTTATGTTGGGGGCTATGTAGTTAAACTGGTTTCTCCTGGAGGGCAAATTCAGATGCCTTAAAATGGTCTTTTGTTTCTCGATAGATTCCTTCTATGATACATTTCACACCATTGCTGACATGATGTATTTCTGTCAGACGCTAGCATTTATGGAGATCCTGAATTCACTAGTAGGAATTGTCAGGTCACCGTTTGTACCTTCATTAGTCCAGGTAATATTTACCGATTCCTCACCCCCCATGTTATTACGGTTTAGATAGTGATAGTCTTAGACATTGCTTTAAAAAGTGTGTTTGTGTGGGGGGGGGACGACTTAAGAAACAACAAATAGTCTTGCAGCACTTTAAAGACTAACAAAATGTGTAGATCTCCATGTTTTGTTAGTCTGTAAGGTGCTACTAGACTCTTTGTTGTTTCTTACGTTTTTCTAGTTACAGACCCCCCCCTCTGGAGCTTTGGGGGGAGAGGGATGGCATCAACTTGGCTTTGCCCCAGGGATGCATTATGCCCCATAGGTGGAAATCCATGCTTTTGAGCCTGGGTTGCTAGGTTGCTCTCTTGGGTTGTGTGGTAAGACAAAGGAGTTTGGGGGAAGGAAGAAACGGGAGGGGGGGGGGGGACACGACACCTTGTGGGCTTGAACCAGCTCAGCTGTCCATGGCAAACACATTGTGCCACAAAAGTGTGAGCACCTGTCTCTGCTGCAGGATTGGCTCTTAATACAGCTGGTCACAGTGCGTACAAGGGCTGTTGGTTTAAGAAGCATTTGCCCAGTCCACAGCTCAGCTCCAGGGGCACATGCCCTGGTCTTCCAGCACCACTGATATTCCCTGGCCCTGGGCTGTGTATTCGTAGAGGTAGGGGCTCTCTGCTGCCTTCTAACTGTGCTGGGTTGATATGTTTTCAGTGTGCTCACATGTACGTGTTGGGGTTTTGTTAAACAGGTACTGGGAAGAAATTTTGTCTTGTTTATTGTTCTTGGAAATGTGGAGGAAATGCAAAGCAAAGCTGTGGTGTTCTTTATATTTTACTGCTGGAGTATTATTGAGATATTCAGGTGTGTATGATTTTCCTTTGATGTGCATGGAATGCCAGGTCTACTGAGAAACAGCCTTCGCTTTAAAATCATTTTGATTTTGCCAGTAAGAAACAAAACACCTTGTGGCATTAGCATGAGTGTCCCTGCTGGTAAAACAGTCCTTGGGGCTTAGGTTTGTCACAGCATAACTGTCTTGCTAGATTCCTGGATCTGGCAGCGTCTCGGACTGATTCCTGTGTGAGATGCCAGAGCACATGCCTGGGATAACTTGTAGCTATGTTCCTCTGCCCATTCCCTAGCCCTTGGTAGGGAAATCCAATGTACATGTCACTCTCCACAGGAAAATCAAACCTTTGGCTAAAGAAGTATAGATTCTGGAATTTGAAGTGTTTGTATTCTGCTAATTTTTGGGGATCTAAATTGAAATACTCATTGAAGAAAGCAGGCAGTTAAACCTATCCATGTTGCCAGGATAATAGGTCTGTAACCTATCAGAGGAAGAACAGATGTGCTTGCTTGCAGCTCCATGTGAAACAATTTTTGAAAATTCTTAATCGTTATTTACCATTAAGACAGTAACTAATCAAAGAGTTACATTGTTTATCATGACTAGTTGACCTGCATGATACCATATAGTGATTGTGCACGATATTGTCACTGAAGTGGAAAGTTAAACTTTTAAGTAATCTCTGTCAAACTGAATTTTTACTCCAGGTATCCGTTCTACATGCTTTCCTGCATTGGTATAGAATGGAAATTACTAACTTGGATCCGATACACCATCTGGATTCCTCTCTACCCTTTAGGAACATTGGCAGAAGGTATGCTTCAAAAACACAACCTTGTAGATCATGCTGCGGTGTGTAGAGCTGAGTAAATAATTCATATTTTGGTTGGGTGGTAGAATTGAAACACCTGACAAAAAATTAGTTTATTCTGACTCAAGATTAATTCATTCGGGGGGGCTGTTTTGTTTTGACTTCTATGTTTTCCCCTCATTTCTTAGTCAGCCATAATCGTTTTCTGAATTTGAATAGTTTTGGTTGCATGACAATTGCATTTTTAGCAAATTTGTTAGTCGCCTGAAAATGTTCACTGAGAGCTGGTTATATCAAATGTGCTGTATTGTCTCTTAATCTTGTCTAGGGTCCTACCAAATTCTTGGCCATGAAATCTCCCCCTGTCAAATCTGTCTTTTTGGAAGCTTTTAATTGTTCAGATTTCATGAGGAAGGCCAGTGTTTCTCAGATTGGGGGTCCTGACCCTAAAGTGAGGGTGGGGAGTTGCAGGATTATTGTAGGAGGTCTCAGTATTGCACTCCTCTGCACTGGATTCAGAGCTAGATAGCGGCTGTTGTTGGCTAGAAGCTGCTCTTCTCCCCTCTCCGCCCAGCTCTGCCACCTCTATCAGAGGCAGAAACAGGGAGGAGGGAGAGGCTGCCCTGGAGCAACCTCTGTCCACAGCAAGCCCAACCTCACCACAGATAAAGGTGGCTCTCTGGGATGCCCATGCAGCCTCTGTCCACAGGAGCTTAGGCCCCCCAGTAGACAGGGGCCGCTGCCGCCCCATGGAGGCAGCAGCGTGGGGTGACAGGGGGTTCCCTGGGAGTGGGGCTGGGAGCGTACTGGCTGCTAGCCCTAACCCTGGGGACTATAGAATAATCAATTGCATGGTATCTAACATCCCTACCATGGAGTGTAAGTCATTTCCAGCCTGCAGCTCTTCCTGTAGAGCTCTCAGTACAGTGGTCTCGCAAGAGGAACGTGGCCACCTTCAGAGGCCGGCGGGGAGCATGAAATGTGTTACAGGCCGATATGAAAGTAATGTCTTTGGGAGGGCTCTGATTGCCTTGCTACACATCCTCTTGTGGGGAGCTGAATGGTGTGTTCGCATTAACTTCTGTTTCACTGGCTGGGGTATCTACAATAGAAATTTGTACCAACTTTAGTTTCTAGTTACATGAGAAACAGCAGAGTGCACTGAACCCAGCAAAGCTAATATCTTGCTGCTGTGGGTGGGTTCGTAGTATTGCCCACCAACCCCAAGAAACTAGGAAAGTATCATGACTTGGGTGCAGCTGTGTTGAAAGTTGCCACATAAAACTAGTTTATGATGAAGTCTCTCTAATTTCCAAGAGTTGCTAAAGTATCAAAATATTTTACCATAAAAAGGGAACAGCTTTGAGAAGCTTCAGTTTTTTTCCAGCTCTAGAGGTGACCTTGCACTTTGCGTTTGTCTATAATCTTTTTGCCCTTCTGCTTTCAGCTGTCTCTCTGATTCAGGCCATTCCACTCTTCAATGAAACAGGGAAGTTTAGTTTCACGCTGCCATATCCGCTGAGCATCACAATCAGATTTTCATTCTTTCTTCAAATCTACCTTATAATGTTATTTTTAGGTAAGTTTTTGTTGTTTCATTGTATTTCAACAGGTGAGAAATACCAAAGGTCAACTGTGTACAAAAAAGGAGTAATAGATTGGAACTTTAAATTAGCATATCTGATAGGTCCTTGTTATACCAATTTGAGCTTGAACTTTCTTCATACTTGTAGCCAAAGGCCCAGGTTAACCCAAAAAGGAGACCTCAGTAACAGGTCACCTTGAAGCATATGCAGATACACCAGAGGCCAGAAACATACACAATTAGGGTATCAATATAATTGGATAAAAGTGTGGACTTCTGCAGGATTTTTCTGGATTCTGCATGTAGTACAAAACTACACAGATGTTATCCTAAATACACTGATACTAATGGAATATGAGAAAACTGTTCCCTGGGGAGCTTCATAGGAATGTTTAACTGGTCAGCTACAATGGTTTGTTCTCTATCATTAGTGGACCAATGATAAAATTATACTGTGTACAGCTTGAACCTACATCTCTCTGGATAGAAAAGTCTCATTGACATCAGGAGCATAGAACCCAGCTCATGATTTTTAAATAAAAAAAATTGAACTCCAAACTTCATCCTATGAAAAAAATAGTTACCTGACACAATCCCTGTTCCTATTGTTTAGTCTAATGTGGGCTGTTCAGCTTTGTGATACTTTTCTCTGGCAAGATTCTAGAATTCTGTCACAAGATTCTAGAATTATTTTCCCTTCCCTCCCTCTGCAATAATGCTACCCCTAATGGGTCGCAGCAATAACAAACAGTGTGGGTTGTTGCAATCTCTATGCTACCCCAGCCGGGACTTGTTTGCCTTTAGCTTTCATAGTTTTATGTACATGAGTGAAAAGAAAATCCTAAATCATGTTTAACTCTGTGCAGGTATGTGTTGCAAGTAACCTGCAGGGATTTTCAGTTCTGCCTGAACAATCGTTTTTCTTTTCCAGGAGTGTTTGTGAACTTACGGCACCTCTACAAGCAAAGGAGGCAGCACCTTGGATCAAAAAAGAGAAAGATAAAGTAAAGCAGACACTGCAGTGTTTTCCTAGATCTAACTTATCTTAACGACAGGCGCGTCTAATTTTTACAATTTTACCTATTATAATAATGGAAAGGATTTTGTACAGCTAAACGATCATGTTAGATTTCATATTGATTCTTCAGATAGCATTCCCATACACTCTTCCGTCATATATGCATGATACTTAATGTTGAGCAATGGCAATATTTAAATGTTTCCAATTAGTTACCATGTTATACAAAGAAATCCTATTATCTGTGTATAATGTGCTTACCAAGAAACTGAACAGCATTGATTGGGAGTAGAATGGTTATTTTTAATTGGGTATTGGGTCTCTTTCAGATATTATTGAATGCAGATAGGGTTTGTGATGCTGGGGTATATTTCAGACCATCTACTTCCTGCTATATGAAACTGACTAGGAAGGGCCTGAGGAGCAGAGACCAAGGGCAGCATGGAGAGTGAATTTATTAATGGTCAGTGCTCGGTCTGCTTTTTCTCAGCAGGCTTTTGCTGATAAATGTAAGCCTGAGAGCAACTAGTATCAGCATTGGTCACTACCAGCTTGTTTTTAATGCGTGAATGATAGGAAGGCTTAATCTCCACACCCCTCCATGGAATAGAAATACGTTGTGGTATTCAGTGTCCCCTGTCTGGCTGCATATGTCCTACTGACTCCTTCAGATTTCCCTCACCAGTTGACATAGCTGCTATTTTTACACTAACTACCCTTCCAGATGGTGAGAATTTAAACGCCCACCCTTAACCACTGGAAAACCAGGAAATGTAGGGTTGAGGTTCCCTTTTCA